GAAGATGCTGTAGATGTTTGTGACAGCTTCCCCCCCCAGCACACAAGACTGCTGTGGAACCACACGGCTGTGTTGGGTTGAAACCCCAAGAGTGCTCTCTTTTTAAACAGAGTATTCTCTTGCAAATAGTGGCTCAAATTGTCATGCAGGCAGGTCTGGATGAATATCTGCCTGCCTAGCTTTTGCATTGTGCAGTAGATCTGAGAGTGAATGTCTAAAAGAGCAGGAACAAGAACAAGGCTGCCGTTGCCTTGTAGGCCTCACGGCAGCTGTGCAGAACAAGGCAGAGAGCAGAGGTATGACACTGCAGGTGTCGTCTCTTCTCCTTGTGCTTTGGAAGGGGTTAGAACTGCCACACAAGGCACTGAAGAGCTGCTTCTCCCCCTGCACAGTGGAAATGGAGAAGGGCTAACACCAAGCGTTTCTGTTTTCTGTGGTGGTTGTGTCTGCTCAGCTCACTATGCCTGCTTCCTTGCAGCTCTTGGTGTTAGGAAGTCCCTGTATAAAAAGAGCAGCATTTTCCAAAATGAGCCTCAAGCGTTTTGTAGGAAAAATTGGTGCAGAGAGGTGCTGGTCTCTGAATCCTGAGCCGATGGGAATGTTTGCTGCTGGAGCTTGGCCTGAGCGATGGCACTTTGGCTTAACTTGGTGTCTCTTTCCCTGTGGATATACGAGGGGTCTAGATTAGATTTCCTTCCTCTCCACTTGGTGCACAGTGACCAGGAATCTACCAGAGTTCATTCTGGCATTCCCCACAGGTCCTTTAGTGAATCCACTCTGAACAAATTTCCCATGTCAGTTTTGAATGCAAATGTTTGTTGCTTGTGCACAGCATGTTGGTTCATTTTAACATTCTCTTTTAAGTCAGATTTTTTTAAAATTGTAATAACCACTTTATTGAGGAGATCGAAGTATTCCCAGCACTGCATATTTTTGCAAAACACGGTCCATCTCCTTCAAGTATTTTGTTTTAGTGCAGAGAAATTGGCCCTTGTGTTGCTTTCAATTTGTGCTTCCTAAAGGAGAGGAGCCAGTTACCCCATTAAACTCAGTGGGGCCTGAAGAGCAGACTGCAGGTTTAAAAGGGAAACCTGAGTGCAGCATTCCTGGTGAATCAGTCATGCACCAGCAATGCAGCGAGCTGCTGTGAAAGCATTCCTTCTTCATCAAAATCCCCTCTCCACGGGAGCCTTCACCCCTGTGCTTTGTGCCCCGCTGCCCAGCCTCCAAGTCTCTTGCAGTTACTGGTAAGTGCATGCTGATGGATGGACCCCTAAAAATCCATCCTGTGCTTGCTCACGTCTTGTTTTTTCCTGAACCTCAGCAGTGGCTGCACTCACCCTTTGCTTGGTGTCCCCACACTCGTTCACATTTTGACGGTCATCCAGTGCCTCGGTGGCTGTTGATGTTTATTGGCTTTGGTGTTCGGAAGCACTGAGGAATGACTCAAATTGGCTTGTGTCCAGCGTGGGCATTCTTTCCCTTAAGCTAAAGGACTGCAAGTGCAATAGAAATGGTTTACAGCATTTATATTTGTTGCTATTTGTTAAGGTCGCTACATCAAATCTGTATATTTCACCTTGCTGTCTTTATCAATGGACTGATGGACTGCCATTTGGAAAGGAGAGTTGTTTTTTTTCATTTGATACTAAAGTTCATTCGCTACACTGAGTTTAAGATTATAGTAATTAGACCACTTAATAGGCTAAGTATAATCCTGTGTGCCACTGTTGTCAGAATAGCACCAGCCATTTAAGTGCGATCAGAATTGAATGGGTTTTCTAAATACTGAGTGTTCTTGCTTATGTAAGCATCAACTTTATTTATACAGAACTCTTCCTCCAGGCAGTTGTTCATTCCCTGCCCTGTTTGCAGCTGCACTTCTGAAGCAGAAGTGGGTGCCCCAGACGATGGAAATGAGCAAATCCTCCTTTGCTGCTCAGTCTGGTGTTTCACTGTCACTGCTGTGTATGTCAAAAACCTCCAAGCCATCAGATGATCACCCTCAAAACTGTAACCTGGTGATAAGGCTTTTCCTCTCTTAGTTTACATCTGTAATTCTTTCTTATATAAATATATATATACATATATGTATACTAATTAACTTAGCAATCTGCCAAGTACATACTCTGTTATTTTAAGCTTCTTCAAGGATTCATCATTATTCTTAGTCACCCTCAGATGCGAATTTGCACGTCCCTGGTTTGTTACTTTCTGCTCCAGACCCAGTGATATAAGATGCTGAAACACCCTTTGGTCTTCATGAGTGAGATGAGCTTGCTGCAGCCTACTGAGAAAGCTACAGGACATCAGCCTCTGTAGGATAGGCTTCACTGCACCCAGGGCATGTGGGTGGGATATTCTCCCCACAATGCAAAGAGGCACTGGCTGTTGATGTGTCTTGCCCAGAGTCACACAAAGAGCACTGGTGAGGCTGCATCTCAAGTACTGTGTTTTGGGACCCTCCTACAAGAAAGCCCTGGAGCATGTCCAGAGATGGGTAGCAAAGCTGTGAGGAACAGCTGAGCAAACTGGGATTGTTCAGTTTGAACAAGAGAAGTCTAAGGGGAGACCTTACCATTCTCTACAGTGGCCTGCAAGGAGGTTGTGTTGAGGTGGGGGTCAGCCTCTGTTCCCAGAGGTGTTCCCAGAGGTGACTGCAATGGGACATGAGGAAATGACCTCGTGTTGTACCAGGGGTGGTTCAGTTGGGTATTAGGAGAAATTTCTTCTCCAAAAGAGTGGTTGGGCACTGGCACAGGCTGCCCAGGGAGGTGGTAGAGTCACTGTCCTGGAGGTGTTCAAGAACTGTGTGGATGTGGCACTGAGGGATGTGGTCAGTGGGCATGGTGGGGATGAATTGACGATTGAGCTAGATGATCTTGGAAGTCTTTTCCAATTTTACTGATTCCATGAGCCTATGTTTGGCAGCATATCACAGGCTGATGGCTGGACAGAATAGCTACTCTGCCTTGGCTCTCTGCTGGCTCAAGGGTAAAGGGAAAAGGCTGATAGCTGTGCCTCAAGTAGCGAGCCTCACTTCATCTGTTTTAATATGTTTTTATGATGCTGTGCTTTTCTTATTTTATTCGTCATCCTTAAACCAACATGACAAACAATTGCACAGATTTCAGATATACCACTGATGTGCTAACAGAAGTCATGGAGAGCCATCTCTCCTTCAAAGGTGGACCTTGGTACCCTCCCTCTTCCTCATTCTTGAACTGTTTCATCAGTTCAGGTGGGAGCAGCTCAGGAATGCAACACCAGTCTGTGGGACTTAGGCTGGAGGGGCAGCCATAAGGATGAAATCCACAGAGCGAGAGGAAATTCTTCTTCAGTGTCACTTGGTATATACATTTGCTCTCCAACAGAAGCCCTCCGGAACTGCCTGCTTGGGAAAATGGGGTGAGCTAAAGCAGAACTGCACCTGATGAGAGCCATTACTCTGCAGCCCCTAGAGAACGGGAAGGGGCCGTGTGAGATAGAGCGTGGTGAATGCCAGCATTTCCTTGTGTCCCAGGAGCACAGTCAGCCATGTAGTTCACCATGCACTGGTGACTTTTTGCTGTAAGGCTGTTTGTGGTGGGTTAGCAAGGAGATTGTGCTGTTCTCTGCTGCTTCCAAGGATATTTCTGATTTGCAATTCTCTTACAGCGAAATAACTGGAGAAAAGAGGGAGGGCTAATTCAGCAAGATTGATCTATTTGATCAAAATTACAGCTTTCAATAAAAAAAAAAAAAAAAAAAGAGGTTAAAACACCTGTATTCCTTCAGTTTCTCCAAGGAACAGTCTTTGATGGGCCATTTAACACAAATGCTTCAGAAGAAGTTGAAGCACTGAAATCCTGCCCACACAGCACCCTATGTTGCCTGCACTGTCCTAACAGGTGAAATGGGTCTGAATGTTTGGTGTGACAACAGCAAGGTTTTAAATGGTGTGAGAGACACAGAAATGCTGACAGCCAGTGGTCAGTTCTCACTGCTAGCTCCCCAACGCTAAGAAGTTTTGCTGGACTGGGTAGAAATGTAACTTTGCAAATAGGTTCTGGGAGGTGATAACCATGCCCAATGCCATTTAACTAATTCTCCCAGTAAGGCAGTGTTGCAATCCTGCCTATTCCTTGGGATATAGCCAGAGAATGTGAGTATTGAGAGCTGCGCATCAGGGTAGAAATGGAGGTCTCTTTGGTATGTGTGATATACTCAGTGCACTATACTCAGCTCATGCTCACAGCTCACAATGGATGCAGATGCTGAGGTTTCCTAGCCCAGCCTCCACATCACCCCACCAGCCATTTGGCCTCTCCACCAAGCAGGTTTTGCTCAGACAGGATAGGCTACTTGGTGCTGGTCTCAGAGCTCGCCACGTCAGTTCCTCTGACTGCAGGATGGGAGAATGGGCACATGTCCCCTGCAGCTGGCCCTGCTGTGCTGGCAGTCACTTCCAAAGATGGAGAGCTGGAAGAAAGATGGCATGCTGTGTCCAGTCAGGGTGCAGTGAGGGCTGGCTGCTCCCTGCAGCACTCTTGGGTGGCATCTGTGCAGCTTTATAAGGTTGTAAATAACCTTCCCTTTCCCTCAAGGAAACTCTTTGCCAGCATTTGTGTTAGTCTCTGTCATCAGCTACACTTAAACGTTTTTCACATTAAATACTTCAGTAAGTTCAAAGACCAAAACTAACATATGTAATAACTGTATGACACTATATCACTAATAGTAAAGTGTCAGTAGTCAGGCTGGTACCTTTCAGAACAGCAGACTTCAACCTCAAGTAAATGCTTTTTTACTGCAGCCATCTTCTTGCCAAGTCTTGACGCTAAATCTGCAGAGCCCATGTAGGGGAACTGTCAGGTCAGGGCTTGAGCTGGTGATTGAGCACCTGGTGAAGGGGAATCCCTGAACCAGGGAAGCACAGGCAGATTGCTAACACCTGTGGTCTCCATGTGCCCAGAAGGGGTGGACCCATGGTGGAGCCATGCTGGGCTCATATAAGGGCAGCCACTGAAGGGGGAATATTTCTTAGGCCTAGGTTTCTTCTTGAGGAGTGCTGTGTGACTAGACAGTACTTTTACCAGTGGGGTGAGTTTGACTTTTCTTTTTGCGTATATCTGTTGGCTTTCCTGCTAACACTTTGCCTGGTATCACCATGAACCAGTCAGACCTGCTTTTGCTTCTTCATGAGAACAGCCCAACAATGTGATTTAACCAACTCTCGGTTCTGTATGACAACTGTAATCAACGTGACTGTGTTTGTGTAGCTCCTCTGCTGTCCATTTCTGATTCCAAGTCCTACCATCAGCATATTTCATTGTGCTTCTCACTGTCAGCTATTGTCTACAAGCAGATAAGGCAGTGAATTTGGGAAGAAGATCTAGTAGGAAGGGTTTGAGTTTTAATATAGCTCAGATTTATAAAGTAAATGCTAGTCCTGAGTATTGGCTTTAATTGATGGTTTGTATTATATTTTTCTTCTTTTCATTGTAACACCTGAAAGTGATTTGTTTGTTGTTTGTCCATAGGACTCCCCTGTGAATAGAAGGAATAGTATTATCAGTACGACAAACCTGGGAAATGAATGTGAAGCCTGAACTGACAGAGCAACTTAGCCAAGCTCCAGGCAGGATATCTGTAGTACAGTTGGAAATTGAACCCGGACTCTCATCCAAGTGCAAGAGTGATTTTTCCGCAGAGCAATCACTTTGGCTGTCTCAAAATCAGAATAGCTGCTCAATTGCATTCCAGAGCTGAGCAGTGCTTAGCATGCTGAAGGAGGGCGACAGCCCAGGCCTCACTGCATCTGCAGCCCTGGACTGGGAACATGTATGCTGAGTGATTGGAGGGGGTTGAGCTGGCTCCTAAAGGAGCAAATCCTACAGAGATTCTGAGGAATGTGTGAGGTATTACCTGGCAGAGCTGTGTGAGTATTTACATAATCTTCAGTGCGAAGTAAGTCTTATTTGCTTGGGCTAAGTCCACTGTCCTTGAATGGAAGAACCATTTCCACTTCACTTTTTACTTGCATAATTCAGCATCCAGTAAAGGGGCACTAATTTCTAAACACACTCCAAGAGACTATGCCCACATGCACAGATATATATATATTTTTTATGTGTAACTAGCTCATTTGATCCACTTGTGTCAGTTAGAGCTCTCTTAATATCTTACAAGCATAATGTGGCTCTTTCAAGGATTGGTAACATCCTTGAACATTGTTTCATCCAAATACTCGTACTCTTTCATTTAAATTGAGAAATAAAATAATTTGGCTTTACTGAACCACACAGAAGGGATACCGTACAAGTGTTTTGTTATCAGTTGCCAGCAGCTCATTTAGCAGCTCTTGTAATGTGTTAATTTGGGAGACTTCAGACCTTGTTATTTTTTCCCTTGCAGTGCTACAACAGAGTGATATTTTAAACAGCTTCTACAAGCTAGAGCCTTCAGTTATCTTCAGATTGTCAGCTGCAGGGGGGGAAGAGTGAATGAAACCTTGTTTATGCCACTGATGGCCAAGAAGATCCAGTATAAGGCTCTTCAAAATGCAGCAGTAGTAAGAAAATCTATTTCTCCCTACTTTCCAAACTGGCTTATTTAGTTTCTTCAGCTGTCATGCCTGTGATTTGTAAGCATAAGCTTGTATGCAGTGCCGTAATTTTTGTTTGTTTCATGTCGTACTATAGGGCTGCACCAAAAGACCTCTGAGCTCTTGGCCTTGGGCACTTTTTCTCCAGCAGAAATTGCTGTGACTGTTCGTCAGGAGTTGTGTTAAAATATGAAAGAACAGGAATACTGTTTGTCTTTACCTTTTAGTCATTCCTCTCACGTTCTTCACTTAAGTAAATCCATGCACTGATCTGTTTTGTTTTCAGTTCCTATTTGTCCAGCTGAGAGTGCTAGTCTCCATGAATTAGTCCAGCAATTGATGACACTTGATGATATCTCAGCATCCAGAAATCCTGAAAGCGTGCTAACTATGCAAAATGCTGCTGTGAGAACTGACTGTGAGGTGGCTGTTCTATTCCCTCTTAAAAGGATGCTGCTGCTTGATGTTCCCAGTATGTATGTCTTCTTGTCACTGCGGAATCCAAAGGGAAGTTAAGTGTGGATTTTGATGGCTGACAAGAGAGTTTCTTCTTTTTTGACCCCTCATCTGACTAGATAATGAATATTCTTGCGGCTATTACTGTAAGGCCAAGAAAGGGGAAAGAAATTATGGAAGGATGCATTCAGAGAATGAATGATAAGAATGGAAAAAGAAACTTAAAGGGCCAGATTCTGAGGCAGAATGACTAGCAGTCAACAGGGCAAGTGGCAAGGACTCAGAAATGCTGTGGATGTGCAGAGCTTATAACGAACAGGCTTTCAGTGCCACCTGCAGAACTCTAAGTCAGCAGCTGGAAAGCATGAGGGGAAGGAAGCTTATCAGGAATTAAGTGTAAGAACTCATCCTTCTCTCAAAAGGCCTATGGGTTCCTTTCAGGGATTCCCAAAAGATCTAGCAGTGTCCTGTGTTTTATCTACACCAGTGTTCTGAATATAGCCTTCAGTCATACCAGTCTTCTTTGCCAGCAGTGAATGAGCTTCACGCCCTGTAAATCCTTTGAGTACCTCCTGTTTAAGTCTATGTATTCAGATTCTCTGAATATTCATTTTCTTGGCCTATAAATAAAGAAGTCTAATGCTTATTAATTTCAAGTGTGCTTACATTTTTATTCCTATTAAAGCCTGCTGCATAGTAAAACACTTCCACCTTATATATTTTTCATCTCTGGAGCAGCATAAACTATTTTGGACTCAAAGGTATGTGTATCATTTCAGCAACTGCTATTGGTAGTAAACTGTCCTAAAGTAAAGGTGATATTTCAGTTAATTCCTGTACAGAAAAGCTGTAGCTCTTCCAGATGTATACTGGTCTGTTACTGTGTTAAAGCATGCTGTGTATGTACATATACATGCAAGAATACACCATTTTTCACAAAGGTAGTACTTAAAAGAGAAAAAAAAAAAAAAATCATTTCAGTTGAACTAACTTCTCTTTAATTCTTTCTTCTCCTGTACTGGTTCATTTCACTGAGACTCATTCACTCCACTCAAGCCATTAGTCATTTTGTTATGCATTCCCTCTGGCTACGCTTGCTACAACACCCTGCAGTTTCCATCTTATCTGAAGTGTTGCATAAATTGGTTTCCAGCAAAAGGAACTCAACTTGCTAAGTGCAGACAGCATGGTTAAGTGAACTTGCAACTTAAACTGTTTCCCTGTATTTTAGGAGGACTGTAAATATACCCAACAATTCTTAACTTACAAGAGTATGGTCGTGATACAAAATAGGTTATTCAAGACCATCCCCATTAGTTAGGACATCACCTAACTAGATTACTTTTAAATGTACGACTATTAGGGTTGGAATGAAACTTACAGGGAAGAGTATGTGACATGGCTTTGAGGCGTAGTAACAAGAACATTGCTTGAACAAATCTGTGAGTTCAGCAATTTGAAAGAAGGCAAAGTCCCAAGTTTGTTTAAGTTAAGTTGGGTACTGAGCATCCATATAATGCAGCCTCAGAAAAAAAGTCAGTTTGATCCTTCCATGTTTCTAGGGTGACCCCAGCTGGAGTAACATGTATGGTCTGTTCATCTCTGTTCAAGAAAGACGAAGAAATAAGCAGAACCTCTCTGAGAAGCAGTGGCTTGCTTACATCCGATGCA